GCTGTCCAACTGAACTCCGGAATGCTTACACTAATAGAACTCCGAGCAAAATCCCAAAAACTACTAGAACTTTGACTAAACTCCAGAGGGCTTAAACGACTAGAACCCTCATCAAACGTCCTCTTCTTTGATGGGGTAACATTGATCATTGGATTGTCAGGCTTAACATTTTGATCCTCCAGAAAATTTTTGGCACTTTATTAAACAGCAAATTATTGATATATGAACGGACTGTTTTTTCCCCCTGCCTATTGGAATTGTTGTACTAGTCGGATTAATTTTTCAAGAGTATGATCTGTGAATGTTTACGTTAATAAAAAGCTTCAGGGCACAATAATAGAAAACTGGTTTCACTCATAAATTAAACCATTGAATAATCAATTGAACAATTAAAACAATAGTTCCTACAGATTGATGGGAAAAAATGACGGTTAATTCCTACAGTAGAAAATATTCCCAAAGAAATAAATAGGTGACTTCAACAACTACAAATCATGGACAGGTAATTAATTAATTAATATTTATTTTTATTATAATAAACCAGCTAACTTATTACAGTGGATGGCACTCATGGTGAACTGACTTTTTTTGCTTTTCCTGGACGTTTTGGACGAACCCCTTCCAACTCGAATTTCTTAACCTCTTTCCGTGATCGGCACATGAATTTTAGTTTCTTGTGGTGATAGAACTGCAGCAAAAACGAATAAGTAAAAGATACATACATACATATAAACATACATTCGTACATACCTTGTCCTTTCTCATGTCATTAACGACGACTGAAGAATCTGGCAGCTTGTAAGATAGTGGCATTGCGTCATGAATCACTGTTGTCTTGATCATCAGCTCTTGTATATGTTGGGTGAGCATGGCTGCTCATGTAACTGGAAATGTCATATGATTCTTTGTCATCAGCTCTTGTATTTCTTATTAGAATTTCCAACAAGCTAGAAACTAAAATTCTATTGGTTGTTCAATAGATTCTTTATACAGTGTGACTGTAATGTAATGAATGATCAAATCTCGCAGTAAATAAATTATGAGCTAGTATGCCCTCGAGTGCTCCTTCATATATATTAATCTTACTATATATCGGTAGTATTAACATATGTAGGTTATTTATATGCATGGAATATTAAATCACAGCAACCAATTCGCTTCCATAGTAATTAACTAATGGGTTATTTTCAATTTTATACTTTGCATTTTGAGTTATAAAAAAAAGCCCCTATATTTTGGCTATTCTCAAGATTGTACCTTTGAATATTCCAATTTCATATCAACAAATTGTACCTTTTTGGGGTCAACAGTTGATTTTGAACCTTAAATTGAAAAATTTAACCTTGACAGGTTTTAGATGATCTAGTACTAAAAGATGAATCAAACGTAACATTCAAAAAGATAGGAAAAAAAAGTCAGAGAAATTATATTTTTGAGCTAAATTGCAAAGGGTAATCTGTCAATTAGTGTTTTATGGGAGAAAGAGAAAAATAAGCTAAAACTTGAGATGAATTAAAATTAATAGGTCAATAGTTTACATAAGTTAATAAATAGGCCAGATTACTGTTTTCGTCCATAACTTGGCTGGTTATGAACCATAACTTGACAAGTTATTATCCATAATTGTCAATAATTTATCTGGATATGAATCATAACTTGACAAGTTTATTCATAACTTATCTGGTTATGAATCATAACTTGACAAATTATGTCCTATTAATTTCTATAACTAAAAATTGGCCTATATACTTTCTTAAACTTTTCATATTGGTCTATTTACTACTATTTCCCGTGTTTCATTATAAGTTTATCTACAAGCTAGAAAGGGTAAATTCATCAATTCAGACGTCAGAATTAGCTACTGGCATAGAAAAGTTACAAAGTTGATATATATTTGAAATTCAGAGCTATAGTTTTGAGGACATCCAAAATACACGGACTCAAAATACGGAATATAAAATTATTAAATATCCCTAATTTAACTAACAAATACGAATGAGGGAAGAATTAATATTAGTATAAGAAAGGAGATAAACATAGGCAAAGAAATTAGTTACCAAATCTGTAACTATGAAGGATTCATTAGCTTTTCCCGAATATAATTGAAGCTCGAAACATGACCCAAGCGGCACAAGATTCAAATAAATCTCTGCCTGTTGAACAAGTTTGTAGATTGGTTCATATTTTTTCTGCATTATGCAAAAACAAATATAAGCGCGAGAGTTGATTTGAAAGTAGAATAGGTACATAAATGCTTCACAATCACGTATAACATGCGCGTGCCTGTGTGCGTGCGCGCGCGCATGTGTGTATGTATATATCAGTTTATTTCACGGCACCCAGAAAGAAAAACAGTTGGGTAGAAACATTACACGCACAGATACACAGATAGACATTTTTACATATAGGTCCCTGCTCAAGGGATATAATTGCCATTGTCGTCTCAAACTTGTTTCCAAGGTTTTGAGATTTTATTTCTAATGGTGCTTGGGATATTCGGGAAGATTTATAAAGCTCCTTAATTTTCAAGTTTGGGATCTAACTTGAAATTTGTCTAGCTTTTGATGATTCGATGGTTGGAGCA